CAGGCACACACGCACACACATGCACACAAACACATGGACAGGCAAACATGCACACACACACGTGCATGCTTACAAGCATCATCTGCCATCCACGTGGCTCTGACGTGTCGAGGTCAGTGAACCAGTGGCATCCCCGGGTGTCCTGTCATTGCTCCCGTGGTAGAGGAGGGGCTGGGACAGGTGCCCCGGGAGGCAAGGATCTTGCCACCAAGAGCACACAGCCTCTGGTGCCTGCGTGACTTGAGGAGCTCCCGTTGACAGATGTGGCACGAGCTACCCCTGCTTGGCACTGGGTGCTGGGCCCAGGTGGACAGTGGACGGTGGAAAGGCTGCTGGAGTCAGGCTGCCCTCTGTCGGCCCCGCCTGGTGGCTCAGAGGCAGGTGCTGGGACTGGTTGGCCCCAGCTCCCTGACCAGCCTTCCTGTGCAGTGTATGGGATCCGTGTAGGGACTGCAGATATAAACGCCATCCCTGGGGGTCCTGTGTCCACCCGGGGCCTGCCTGCAGTCAGCATGGGTGAGTCCGCACCCCCAGGTCCGTCTGTGGAGGAGGCGGGACTCCCAGACCCCCCCACCCATGATGCTGAGCCTTCGTAGTGTGTACTGGGCACATGTCCAAACAGTCGAGTCGGCAGGAGTCAAGGATCTGCGGGACGGGCAGCTTAGGGAAGGTGATTGGCCCTGCGCCTTGAAGCTCGTTCTGAGGAGCCTGGGGCCCCAGGGGAGGTACACAGGCTCTTCCTGTCCCCGGAACTTCCTGCGACCTACAGCACTGAGCTGTGCAGGGCAGTGGACACTGTCGAGCCTTTACATTCTGCGTGCCCGGCCTGAGCCATCCGCTCTGCAGTCACGCTCTCCTCAGTGTCCTCTGGGGGAGACGACTGGCTCAGGCAGCAGGAGGCCTGGCCAGTGGTGTGGCTGATGAGCAGAAGCAAGGGCAGAGCCTGGGACGGCCCGGGACCTGGTCCCCTCCCCTGAACCGGCTGACTAGGGGAGACCAGCAGAGGGAAGCACTGAGGCTGCACACGTACACTCACACATGCACACACGCAAATGCATGACATGCACACATGTACACTTGCACCCACACACGTGTGCATGCACACACAAATGAACACAGAGCTACACATGCACCCACACACACGCACACGCAAACACAGACGTGTGCAGTCCCCTGATCCTGGTGTGGGTGCAGGGCGGTGTGGGTGCAGGGCGGTGTGCGTGCAGGACGGTGTGGGTGCAGGGCAGCCTGGGTGCAGGGCGGCGTGGGTGCAGGGCGGTGTGGGTGCAGGGCGGTGTGCGTGCAGGACGGTGTGGGTGCAGGGCAGCCTGGGTGCAGGGCGGGGTGCGTGCAGGGCGGTGTGGGTGCAGGCCCGTTCTCCGGCCCGAGGGCCCAGGAGTTTCCTTGGTTGAGTGGCTCTCCCTGGTCTGGGGGCTAATGGGGAGAAACTGGCCTTAAGAGGTAGGAAATAACCCTGCTGAGGACGTTGCCTCTCGCCCGGTGCCCCCCCATCCCCACCTCCCCCAGGAGGAGCCTCCATGCCTGCAATCTCCCTCTAGCTCCCCGGACATCTGGCCAAACCACGGAAAGAGGCTCAAACCACACCAGTCATTCCCGTTGGGATGGGCCCTCACTCGTCCCTCAGATAAAGGGGAGAGGCAGCGGAGAGGGTGGGCGTCAGGCAGGGGCTGGAAGGGACCTAGGAGGGTGTGTGGCCCGCCCTCCCCGTGATGGAGCTGAGAGGGAGTCAGGGGGCCCAGGGCCCAGCTCCTGCCACTTCCTCAGGTGACCCAACGCCTGCTTGTCCCTGTGCACCATCTGCAGAAGGGGCCCCCACCAGATTGGAGGCCAGGGCAGGTGCTACCCCCAGCAGGGAGCCAAGCGGAGCCTTCACCCTGCCCCGCACTGCCCTTAGCTGGGGCTGTCTGTGAAGTTGGCTGACCCTTGCCCCTGATTCCCTTCTGGAAGAGTCTGAGGACTCGGGGGCCATCCTGCCACATATGTGCCTCTCTGTCTTGTGCTCAGGGCACAGTGTTCCCACATCCCCATGGGGCTTTTGTCCTTGGTTGCCTCCAGGGATGAGGTGCTCACTCCTTCCTGTAGTCACTGCCCACCATGTACAGCCGTGACCCTCCCAAAGTCCTTGTGCCCAAGGCTGGGACCGTGGGTAGGAAACCCTAGGCTGTGAGGACGTGTGGTCCATCGAGCGGGGACCTCAGTCTCCCTCCTCCTCGTGCCCTAGGACGAGAAGAAGCAGATGATGGCAGTGAACGTGTGGGTGAAGCAGGTGGGTGAGGGAGGCAGCCGCCCCCCCGGGCTCCACCGTCCGAGCCCCGGCCCTCCGGCTCCCCATCCCTGCTCCCTGCCCCCTCCCCGTAGCCCCATTCGCGTCCCCCCACACCTTGTCCCCTGGTCACCTCCCAGCTCCCTATACCTCTTCTCCCCCTGATTGCAGGAGTGGGAAGGGGTGAGGCCCGCACCCTCATCTCCCCCATCCCCCGGTTCCCCCCAGCCCGCTCGCCTCCCCCTCACTGCTGGCTTCCCTCCGCCCGCTCTGGGGGGAGCAAGAGTAGGAAGCGGCAATGTATGTCCCCCACCCCCCCACCCCCGTCTCCCTCCCCTGCACCTCCCCTCTCACCGTCGACCTCACCTCCCCCTCCTTGGGCACAGGCGGGAAGGCGCAGTTCCCCCATCTGCCCCTTGCTGCCCCCCCCACCACAGGAGTGGCGTGACTACAAGCTGCGCTGGGACCCGGCTGACCACGAGAACGTGATGTCCATCCGCATCCCCTCGGAGCTCATCTGGCGGCCGGACATTGTCCTCTACAACAAGTGGGTGCCGGGAGGGGCTGTGCCTGGCAGGGAGCCGAGGGAGGGCCAGCGGGGCCGCTCTCAGGAGGAGCCTGGGGGGAGCGCCATCTCAGTCGGGCCTCAGCCCCTCCCTGAGAGGCATGGATCCGGGGCTGCAGGCCAGAGTGCCCTTCATGCACGACCACTTCCAGACCAGCCCCAACCTTTGCGAGGCCCGTCACGTGCCAGATCCCGCATCCTCGAAAGTGGGCTGAGCTGCAGAGCCGCCTTCTCACCTCAGCCCCCTGCCCCCAGCCCCCTCTCCCTTCTTATCTTCACTCCCCACCTCCCAGGTCCACCGGGGGCGGTTCTGCAGGTCACCGCTGGTCCCCAAACCCCAGGGCCTCTGCCACGGCGTCACTGCCGGGGCCCCCACCCGGGGCTACCCCGCGGCGTCACTGCCGGGTCCCCCACCCGGGGCTACCCCGCGGCGTCACTGCCGGGTCCCCCACCCGGGGCTACCCCGCGGCGTCACTGCCGGGTCCCCCACCCGGGGCTACCCCGCGGCGTCACTGCCGGGTCCCCCACCCGGGGCTACCCCGCGGCGTCACTGCCGGGTCCCCCACCCGGGGCTACCCCGCGGCGTCACTGCCGGGTCCCCCACCCGGGGCTACCCCGCGGCGTCACTGCCGGGTCCCCCACCCGGGGCTACCCCGCGGCGTCACTGCCGGGTCCCCCACCCGGGGCTACCCCGCGGCGTCACTGCCGGGTCCCCCACCCGGGGCTACCCCGCGGCGTCACTGCCGGGTCCCCCACCCGGGGCTACCCCGCGGCGTCACTGCCGGGTCCCCCACCCGGGGCTACCCCGCGGCGTCACTGCCGGGTCCCCCACCCGGGGCTACCCCGCGGCGTCACTGCCGGGTCCCCCACCCGGGGCTACCCCGCGGCGTCACTGCCGGGTCCCCCACCCGGGGCTACCCCGCGGCGTCACTGCCGGGTCCCCCACCCGGGGCTACTCCACGGCATCACTGCCGGGTCCTCAAACCTGGCTCATCCATTCCCAAGCAAGCAAAGCTGGGGCAGGCCGCTCCATGAGGCCCAGCACGCACGCTAAAGGCCAGCGTGTAGATGCGGACTGTGCTCGGCAGCTGGGCCAGGCTCCAGGGGTGACTTGTGTTGATGTCCAAAGGGCCACCTGCTGTACTTCCCTGGGGCCCTCCCCTGGGGCCCCCCATGTGCTGCTGTGACACCCCAAGCTGGCCCTCTCTAACTTGTGTCCCCACTGGCCCTGAGTTTCCCAGTCTTGGGTTGGCAGCCAGGCACTGAGGCTCCCCACGTAGCTGACAAACGCAGCGAAGGCCAGCACTCACACCCCTGGTTCTGCCACAAGTCCTCATCCTCTGCCGCCCCACCGACCCCCGAGGGCTCCTGCAAGAAGCCCCTGCTGGGCCCTGGGGAGTCCCGCCTGCCCTGCAGATGTTCCTGCTTGATCAGGAAAGATGGGGCCTCTTCCCCTTAACAGATTCCAGTAAGGGCAGCAGGAGGGCCGCGCTGAAGGCGTTGAGACCGTTTCCCAGAATGCGTCAGGGGCGGAGAGGTGGAGACCCGGCCCCCTCCCCCCGTGCCCCGAATGTGCCTGGAGTGTCCGTGTGCCCCCGAGAACCAGAGCCTGCGGGGCCAGGAAGCAGTAGTGCCAACCGAGCCGGGCAGGCAAGCAGCTTCGGAGTGCCAACACCTGGGACTGCAGTGCAGGAGATGGGCCCCCACACCTGCACAGACCCCCAGCTGGGGAGGGGCTCTCGCTGGTTGAGACCTGGGGGCATGAGGGTGAAGGGACCCTGGAACTGGTAGCTGTGTGGATGCAGCCCCAGCCAGCGAGGAGGCCTGTTCCCAGAGGTGGCAGGCAGTTGCTGGTGCTGGCATGGGCCTGAGCGTGGCCAAGGGTCAGCTGGCTGCATCTGGGCGGGTGGGGAGGCCTGACTGCTCTGCTGGCTCTGGGGTGCCGCCTCAGATGGAGGACGCTTACGCGAGGCCTTGCTGCCCACTTCGGGGCTTCCCAAAGATCGGGCCTTTGCAGGGCACAGGGCAGCACGGTGACAGTGCAGCTGAGTCACCAAGTGTCCCCCAGCCCAGGGACCCTCCAGCCTTTGTGCAGACCTCACCGTTGGGGGTTTGTTGGGTGGAAGCCGAGCTCCGAAGGCCACAGGGCCAGGACACAAGGAGGAGGCAGGCCCCAGTCCTGCTGCCTTCGTGGTCCCCTCCCCTAGAAGCCGATGTGGGTGGGAATGAGGCCCACGGGGTGGGACAGCAAGCTCAGAGGTGCACACTTGAAGGTGGCGGTCCTCCCAACGGCTCCCCAGGGAGGGGAGGGGGTAGTTGGGCAAGATTGGAGCCAGGTCTGGCCCTGGTAAGGAGGGGTGCGTGTTGAGGCTGGGGGTACTGTGTGAGCACAGCCAAGGGGTCAGGGGTGCACAGTGCACTGACCAGGGCTGGTGGGGGAGGAGCTGCCCCTTTAAGTGGGCTCTCTGGAACATTCTCTGCTCCTTCCCGGGGTGGAATCCACTTGGGCAGACCTGAGGGTAGCCTGGGGTTGCTGCCGCGTACTACTCATTAACCAGAGCCTCTTCCGTCCTCCCTGCCGAATAGCTGCGAACATTGGTGGCTCATCTTCCGGGCGGACAATTTTAATTTGGGTCTAAAGGGGAAGCTTTGATTTTGGAGAGGCGGAGTTGGGAGAAGGAGCAGTGGACTTGGGCTCCAGCTCCACATGCTCCAACGTCTGCGAGCCCCCTCCCCGCCGCTCTGAGAAGTGAGCTTTCCTGCACTGTAGCCAGCAGGATAGGAAGGCACCACCACTCCCATCTCATTGATCCTCAGCGGCCCCTTCCATCGGCAGCAGAACCCGCTGAGTGGATGGACGATGTTAGCGCTGAGAGCTAAGGGGGCCCAACTGGCACCATGAGACTGTGGAGGGGGGGGGCTTGGGGCCTTGAAGGCTGGGTCAGCGTGGGTCCTGGTCAGTGTGGGGCCGGCCTGGCTCGTGAGCACGAGGTGCCCAGGGCCATGCTCATGGCGCTCCAAGGGGTGAGACCAAGGGACCTCTGGACACTGGGAGCGGTGCAGCCACCAGAGAGGGTGGGCAGGTTCTGGGGAAGGGTGGGCCTGAGGAGGGTGGGTAGCTCAGCAAGGAGAAGGTACCAGAACCTTCTGGGAGAGGCACACTGATGGCTGTGGTACCGCCAAGTCCAGCGTGATGCACACCGGGGTGTAATCAGGCAGCCAGAGCTCATAAAGTGTTCGATGAGGCTCCTGGCGGGATGGTAAACTGAGTTACAGAGGCTAGTTGAAGGTCATTTGCCCAGCTCTGTTTAACCCCGGGCTCTGCCACCCTGAGTGTCAGGACCCCAGGGGAGGACACCAGCTTTTCTCCGCTCACCTGTGAGGTGGGAGCACTTGTGAGCGCAGGTGTGTGGGGTCGTGGAGGGGACAGGACACTTGGGGTGGCAGGTGGCCTCAGGTGGGGCTCGGCCTGGCGTGCCTTGGTGGGTCTCACACCCTGGCCTCCCCCCTTCCTGTCCAGTGCGGATGGGGACTTTGCAGTGACGCACCTGACCAAAGCCCACCTCTTCCACGACGGACGGGTCCAGTGGACGCCCCCGGCCATCTACAAGAGCTCCTGCAGCATCGACGTCACCTTCTTCCCCTTCGACCAGCAGAACTGCACCATGAAGTTTGGGTCCTGGACGTATGACAAGGCGAAGATCGACCTGGTGAGCATGCACCGACGCGTGGACCAGCTGGACTACTGGGAGAGCGGCGAGTGGGTGATCGTGGATGCCGTGGGCAACTACAATACCAAGAAGTACGAGTGCTGTGCCGAGGTCTACCCCGACATCACCTACGCCTTCATCATCCGGCGCCTGCCGCTCTTCTACACCATCAACCTCATCATCCCGTGTCTGCTCATCTCCTGCCTCACAGTGCTGGTCTTCTACCTGCCGTCCGAGTGCGGTGAGAAGGTCACACTCTGCGTCTCCGTGCTCCTCTCGCTCACCGTCTTCCTGCTGCTCATCACCGAGATCATCCCGTCCACCTCGCTGGTCATCCCGCTCATCGGCGAGTACCTGCTCTTCACCATGATCTTTGTCACGCTCTCCATCATTATCACCGTCTTCGTACTCAACGTGCACCACCGCTCCCCGCGCACGCACACCATGCCTGCCTGGGTGCGCAGGGTCTTCCTGGACATCGCGCCCCGCCTGCTCCTCATGAAGCGGCCGTCCGTGGTCAAGGACAACTGCCGGCGGCTCATCGAGTCCATGCACAAGATGGCCAGCGCCCCGTGCTTCTGGCCAGAGCCTGAGGGCCAGCCCGGCTTCCTGAGCCGGGACCTGTCGCCCTCCAAGTCCTGCTGTGCCTCACCGGGGGAGCCAGTCAAGCCGCCCTCAGAGCAGCCCCCCGATCTCCAGCCCGTGGAGGCCGGGAAGGCCAGCACCTGCCCCTTGGCTGGCCCTGGCCCCCTGCTCAGCAGCAGCCAGGCCACAGGGCTGCCCAAGGCCAGGTCTCTGAGTGTCCAGCACATGACCAGCCCCGGTAAAGTGGAGGACAGCAGCGTCCGGTGCCGATCCCACAGCATCCAGTACTGTGTCAGCCGAGATGACGCCTCTACCCAGGCCAAAGGCCAGGTGACCAGTGCCCCGGCCTCCGCTCACTCCGCCAAGCCTACGGCCCCAGACCAGCCCTCTCCCTGCAAATGCAAGTGCAGAAAGGAGCCGCCTGCCACCTCCCCCGATGCCACATTCACAGCTCACAGCACCAAAGTGCCCTGTCGCCACCTGCTCCTGTCGCCGGCCCTGGCTCGGGCTGTGGAGGGAGTCCAGTACATTGCGGACCACCTGAAGGCAGAGGACACGGATTTCTCGGTAAGTCTCCGTCCTGCCCCGAGCAGACAGCACTTGTTCCCTTCCCTGAAGAAGAGCGTGGCAGTGCCCCGGCCTGCTCGGGGTTGGGGGGCCCCACATGGCTTCTCTACACGGCAGTCCTGAGCCCCACCTGCCCCGCTCAGCCCCTCCCTGAGCCCATGCTGACCCCTCCTCCAGGGCAGAGCCGGGGCGGAGCCGGGGCAGAGCCGGAGCAGGCGGTGGGCAGAGCTGGGGCAAAGTTGGGGCAGGTGGTGGGCAGAGCTGGGACAGGCAGTGGGCAGATCTGGGGCAGAGCTGGGGCAGAGCTGGGGCAGAGTTGGGGCAGGCGGTGGGCAGAGCCAGGGCAGAGCTGGGGCAGAGCCGGGGCAAGTGGTGGGCAGAGGCGGGGCAGAGCTGGGGCAGAGCTGGGGCAGACAGTGGGCAGAGCCGGGGCAGAGCTGGGGCAGGCGGTAGGCAGAGCTGGGGCAGAGCCGGGGCAAGTGGTGGGCAGAGGCGGGGCAGAGTTGGGGCAGAGCCGGGGCAGAGCTGGGGCAGGCGGTAGGCAGAGCTGGGGCAGAGCCGGGGCAAGTGGTGGGCAGAGGCGGGGCAGAGTTGGGGCAGAGCCAGGGCAGAGCTGGGGCAGGCGGTGGGCAGGTGACCCCAAGGCTTCAGGACAGGGTGGGTCTCAGGGGGTGGGGGGCACAAGTACCACCTTTAGAGAACAACCAGCACATGCAGCCCGTTCTGGTGCTTGGGAGCCATCCTGATGGGAGCGTCTGCAGAGCCTGTGTGGCCAGGAGGGGCCTCTCGCTCCTTCCCCGAATCCCAGCAAGGCCGTGCTGGCGTTCCTCCCTCAGCGCTGCAGCCTGTGGATACCGGAGAGCACCCTCCATGTGGGCACTGGACCCCTGGGCTCCTCCTGGCTGGGGGAGGGGCTGAGGGGTGTTGGGCCCAGGTCAGGGGGGAGAGGAGAAGAGGAGAAGAGACCAGGATCTGGACGCAACCAAGCTGGAGAGCCTGGGCAGTGCGAGGGCAGAGTCGGGGAGAACCCGGCCCCACTGTGGGGCTTCGAGGGGCCCTGGAGACCCCAGAGATGCTCCCCCCGAGCTAGCACATCTTGGGGCACCAGTGGGGATGGGGATCTCCAAGTATCTTGTGATGTGTGACGAGTCTGGGAGTGGCTGCTGGGCTGATTTGTCCCTTTAGAGGTTTAGGCAAAACCTCAAGGGAACCAGGAGGCCGGGGTGGGCTTGTCCACGCCTCCTCCTCCAGTGCGCAGGTCTGAGGCTGCGACGACCTGGTTCTGGTTCTGGTGTCAGGCCCCTGGGAGCAGCGCTGACTTCACAAGAACGGCCTCTGGCTGGAGGCTTTGGTCTGTGACGCGTTTCATCTTGGGAGGGAGGCAGCCGACAGGACACGAGAGGGGAGGATCAAAGGCCGAGGGAAAAGTAGCAGCCTGGGGAGGCTGCCTCTCAGCCTGTCCCTGGGAACAGAGGGTCCAACAAGGAGCTGTATTTATCGGCAACGCCATTTGCTCCAGCCTCCCCTTAAGTAAACACGCTGTCTCAGTTTGGTTTAAAACTTTCGGTCCAACAGTGATTATGTGGAAAATCTAGCACAGAAGGTGGCAGTGGGGAGGAGTCATCCCCTCGATACCCCTCACTGGAAGCGCGGCCGCACCCCCATCCCACCCTCGAACGTCTCATCCGGGTGGCCTGAGCCCATGCTGGCTGCATCCCAGTCTGGGTCAGCCCTGCCCCCGCAGGCCCCCCCTTGCAGACCATCCCCAAAGGCAGGCCTGCGTTAAACTGGGGGATTACTGTCCGTCTGCAGAATAGGGAGTGGCCTCGGTGGTCTCCACTATGCCTCCCTCCACCTTTTCCAAGCTAGGGGATTTCAGCGTGGAACACAGACGGTGCCTCCAAGGGGCATCGGTCTCCACCCCAGCTGAGCTCAGACCACCTGCAAGGCAGGTGGGGCACAGCACTGCGTGCCGCCTCCTGGGGCACCATGCGGTCCACGTCCTGCTCAGTGCGCACGCGGATGCCCTAGCTGGAAAGTGTGTGCCGGCCCGGCAGACCCCCGCTTCTGCTAGCCCCCCACACCCCTCAGTGGGTGTCGATATTGACCACCCTGCCTCCCTTCCTCCCTCCGTGGCCTCTGTGCTGAGTGAGGTGTCGGCCCCTACCCACAAAAAGTGCTCCCTGGGCCCACACTTCAGCAGAACAAGTGACTTCTCTCTGCCCCCCATTGTCACCTCAGTACAGGTGGGCGTGCAGGTGTGCACAGTGTTTTGGCTGCCTTGGGTAATGGGCGTGGGAAGCGGAGAACCTGCCCCTCGCGGTGCCCAGTTCCAGAAGCTCCCTGGCCACCGTGAGGCCAAGGGCGCGGCTGGCTGACCTCGTCTCCGCAGGTAAAGGAGGACTGGAAGTTCGTGGCTGTGGTCATCGACCGCATCTTCCTCTGGGTGTTTGTCACTGCCTGCCTGCTGGGCACCATTGGCCTCTTCCTGCCGCCCTGGCTGGCCGGCATGATCTAGGGCCGTCCAGGACACCCGCCGCACAGGGCGATCACCGGACGGGACCCGGCTGTCTGCAGACTCCCAGACTCAGGGCACGCAGCCTGCCCCGTTGCCCCCACCTCCGTCTCTGCCTTGAGCCGGCCTCGGGAGAGACCGTCCCTCTGTGCTGGCTCCATGGGACTGTGGCCGGGACACCGGGTCGGGGGTGGCCCCGGGCTGGAAAGCTTGTCTGCCAGGCTGTGTCCCAGGGCCGCCCCATGAAAGCTTGTCCAGAGCACAGTGACCATGGTCTCCTGCCCGCTCCTCTGAGCCCCTCGATGGTCCTGACCAGATGGGGGCCGTGAGGCCTTGCCCCTCCCCACCCCAAGTGCCCCTCGTCCCTGGGGTCCAGGGGGCCCAGGCGCCTGAGTCGGGGGCTGGTCACCCCTCCACCACCTCCCAGCCCAGCCTTAGCTTCTCCTGCCGGCCTGGGGCGTGCAGGCTCCTCAGATGGGTCCCCTTCGACCCCTAGAGGTGAGCGGGGGCTAAGCAGGGTTCTTGTTTGCTTGTTTGGGGTTAGTCAAAACCACTCTTTGTGCCTGAGGGGCCTGAAAAAGGAGCTTTGTGGACTAGCTCTGTCTTGGAGGGAATCGCCCTGCAAGTCCGCCCACAGGGCAGGTCCGCCCACGGCAAGGGATTCAGCCCCAGGGAGTGCAGACACGCCCCCATCCTGCAGGGTCTCAGGGTGGAGGGGGGAGAGTCTGCAGCAGGCACCTCGAAGGGGCACAGGGGTGGAGGGATGGCGGAGCAGACGCCAGGCCCTGAGCTCAGGCTCCCCATCTGGGCCCCAACGCCCTGAGTGGTGCCTGCTCTTTTCGCAGTCAGGCGAACTGGGACTCCGGGTAGACACAAGGAAGGACTGCCTGCCTCAGTGGCCACGGTGCGGCCCGAGGACAGACCCTGAGGGTGGCTTGCCCAGGTGGACTCGGGGACGCCCCGGAGTCTCAGCCCCAGGGATAGGGAGGGCAGGATGGGCAGGGACCCCTGGGGAACATTGTGGAGTGGAGGGACTATGGGGTCTGGAACTCCCCAGCTTCCAGCCTGGCCTCCGTACTCCCGGGGCCATCAGAGGCCAGGGGGCCTCACCCGGGTCTCCCCCACAGCACCCAGGGGCTGCTCTGCCCAGAGGAGGTGTGGAAGTGGAGAGGGGCTACGGGCGAGGCCCAGGGGGCTCAGGCTCCTCATCCCTGTATCGCTGGCATTGTCTCCTTGGAATGCTTAGTCTCCAAGTACTGTGGTTCCATCTGCTGGCCCAGCAGACGGGGGTGAGGATGAGGAGAGCTGCGGGGAGGGCCAGCACCCCTCAGCCCATCGTCCCCCCACCCCATCCCCTGGACCTAGTGTCCCCCAGCCCAGCATCCCCCGAGCCCAGCATCCCCCCACCCCATCCTCTAGTCTCAGAGCCCCCCATCCCCTGGGCCCAGTGTCCCCCCACCCTATCCCCTGGACCCAATGCCCCCCAGCCCAGTGTTCCCCCACCCCATCCACTGGACCTAGCATCCCCTGTCCAGTGTCCCCCCCAACCCCTTCCCCAGACCCAGTGCCCTCTGGCCCAGTGTCCCCCCTACCTTCAGCCCCTGGGCCTAGTGGCCTCCAGCTCATCATTTTCCAGTCCAGCACCTCCCAACTCCATCCCACAGGCCCAGTGTCCTCCTGGGCCCAGTGCTCCCTGGGCATTGAAGATTCATCGGCTAAGCTTTGATCCGCTCCAGCTCCCTGGGGCTGTCCCTCGGGGGAACCCCTGGGCGCTGGGAAAGAGCCAGGCAGGTGAGTTCACTTCCCGGGCTGTGCGACCCAGCTGGAGACACCCAGCCTTGGAGGCGGGAGGGGGACGCAGACCTCAGAGGTAAGACCCTCAATCCGAGTTACACAACTGGGCTTAGCCGCCAGATGTGCTGGCAGCTGCAGGGAGCTGCCGGATGCGGATGCAGCTGTGGATGCGATTTTCTGGGTCGGGGTGACACCGAGGGGCCGGGGGCAGCCTCTCGCCAGCTGCTCCATTGAGATTAAGACTCCTCTCTCTTCCTTTAGTTTTAAAAAATCTTTGAGACTCAAAAATAAGTTCAGAAAATCCAGAAAAGGAAATCAGCCGCCATATTGCCACCAGGCCACCTCCGCTCTGTCAGCATGCTTTTGCCTCCAGAGCTTTCTCACGAGGGAGGTCCTCGCACCGGTGGATTTTAACAAACTCGGGGCCCAAGGAGCTTGACTCCACTAGTCTTGTTTCCTGGGGCTGCCATAACAAAGCGGAGGGCTTTAAAGAACAGGAATTCATTGACGCAGAGTTCCGGAGACCAGAAGTCTCAATTTGGGGGTCGGCTCTATGGAAAGGCCCTGCTTTCTCTCTCACCTTCTAGCAGCTGCCCACAACCCTGGGCGTTTCTGGGCTTGTAGGTGCAACTCCACATGGCATCTACCTTCCCTGTGTGTGTCCCTGTGTCTGTTCTCCTTTTATAGCTCAAACTGATTAGGTTTAGGGCCCACCCTACTCCAGTACGGCCTCATTAACGTAACAGAAGAAACCCCTATTTCCAAACGGAGTCATATGTACAGGTACAAGGGTCAAGACTTCAACATAACTTTTGAAGCCACAGTTCAACCCACTACCCCACTCAATATATAGGACATTACCATCAACCCAGAAAGTTCCCTCAAGCCCCTTCCTGTCGGTTCCTGCTCCCATGACAGCCTCTGCCGGCTCCTATCCCTGGGCTGTTCTCAGACTCCGTGTAGGTGGAGTCGAACGGGTGTGGTCTTTTCTGTCTAGCTTTTTCCATTTACTATAATGTGGTCGAGATTCCTCCGTCGTGTGTATCAGCATTTCTTTCTTTTGTTGCTGAGTTGTGTTCCTTTGTCTGAATAAACTAAAACACAATTTGTTTATCCATCACCTGGTGATGGACTTTGGGTTGCTTCCAGCTTTTGGTGACCATGAATCCAGCTGCCAGGAACTGGGTGTTGTGTACGAGTCCGTGTGGACGCAGGTTCTCATTTCTCTTGGGTGGTGGCCTCTCTGGGTCGTGGGGCGGAGGTACATTTAAGGCTGCCAAACACTTTCCAAAGTGGTTGTACAGTTTTACATCCCCACTGGAAATATCTGGGAGTTCTGGTCACTTTAAACCCTGAAGGACACTTGGTATAGGGGGCATACCGGCCCACAATAAACAGCTCTGTCGGCCACAGCCACGCCCATTCATTTCCACTTTGTCCACAGCGGCTTTCAGCTACTGTGGCCAAGTTGAGTTGTTTCCACAGAGACCACGTCGCCCATAAAGCCTAAACTGTTTACTCTCTGGCCCCACACGGGAAAGTCTGCCTGGTATACATTCCCCGTGGCGTTCACATTTGTGCATCAGCAGTTAACATGGTGGTCCAATGGCTCAGCGCTCGGCTGCTAACCAGAATGCTGGTGGTTTGAACTCATCCAGTGGCTCTGTGGGAAAAAGACCTGGCAATCTGCTTATGTAAAGATTTCAGCCAAGAAAATCCTATGGGGCATTGTACTCTGTCACATGAGGTCGCCATGGGTTGGAATCGGCTGGATGCCAAACCACATTTACTTACTGTGTCTTTTCTCTTGGAGCCCCCACTATGCGGATACGAACACTGAGTGTCTGTTTTCATGTGTCTCTTCCTGTAGTCCCCTGGGAGACTCCTGAACTTGACTGCACAGCTCAAGGATGTTTTTGCCTTGTTTATTTTTTACTCAGCCTACCTTATTGATTTTCCATTTCTCTTTCTATGTTTTCCACACACAGTATTTCCAACTGATTTTTCTGTATGCTTGTTAATTCTTGTATCATGTTATTAGTATCCCTCCTTGCCTCCTTGAAGATATTATGAGAGCTCACGAGTTCTTGATCTGGCATACGTTGTTCAGTTTGTCTCCCAGTCCTTTTGCTCCTCAGGTGTCTCCCCCATCTAATTGGAGCCCCCCCCCACCGCCTCCCCAGGGAGGAGAGGGTACTCAGAGGGCTCTGGGTGCCCTGTGGTCCAGGGGCATGATTTCAGCGCCCGCCTTGATGAAGCTCCCCAGAAGTGCCTGCCCCACTGCTCAAGGGTGTCCCTTCCAGATTACCCAGGGTCATTTAACCCCAGCACTGGTCAACAGGAAACTGGAGAAACAGAGTGGACCCAGTCAAGCTGTGGCACTGGTCGTGCAATCTGAATCCAGCTCAGCTCCAGGACAGACGTCAATGACCTGGCTGTCCTTCCTGAAGAACACAACAGCCAGCTTAGGTCATTGTTCTCAATGTTTGTCATCTTTAATACCTGCAGTTAAGGCTATGACTTTGCCCTTAGATACTGCTTTAGCTGTACCTCCCTAATTTTGCCATGTTGTGCTTTCATTGTCCATCAGGTTAAAATATGTCTTAATATTGCTTATGACTTCTTTAACCTAGGATTTATTTAGATGTACATTTGTTCTACAAACCAAGGAGAATTCTTGGCTGTCTGTTTCTAATTTTATTGTGTTATGGTTGGAACATGATTCTTTGGCATTTGAGGCACTTCCTGACCTAGTGTGAGCATGTGTGTGGATCATTCGATGGGCTTGAAGGTTTCCTCTATTGGGTGCATAGTGTTCTCTTGTGTCTTGTCAGTCATGTTTACAAAATTCATTTTTGTCTCCATGATTGATCCATCTCTGGAACAGCTAAGCTAATCATCCTCCATGATTGTGGATTTAGCTCTTCCCTCTGAGGCTATTTTGCTTCTCACACACTTGGGGTTGTGTAGGGTGTTTGCAAGCTCGTTATCTGGGAGGATTGTTACTTTCATCAGCATCTAGAGCTTTTGTTCCTTTTTAATATTTTTAATTCAGTTTTTTTCCCCCCGAACGATATGGGTTCCCTCTTCATTTGTGACACCTTTTTGCTTTTGAACTTAGCTATTTAAGTGGTAAGAGTGGGAATCTAATACTTAGCTAATTGTTAAATACTTGTTTGGGAAAGGAAATGGAACTATCCACGTCTCCTTGAGGCACCACCAGGACAGGAAGGCAGGAATGAGTTTGATAAGTTCCCTCACCATGCAGGGTTTCAGGCCCTCATCTGGAACCGTAGCGGGTAAGATGGACAAGGGCCGGGCTTGCAGACTCCTGTTCTGGGTGGGGAAAGAAACCAGGATGACAAGCAGAGCTACAAGGAGCGTGGCTGGGTCAGGAGCCCTTGCTGAGAGCAGCCTCGCTCCAAGACACACAGAACACAAAGGGTCGATGTGCACAATCTCGAAGTGATGTCCCTGCGTAGGGAATCAGACACGAGCCAGTCACGGGAGGGACGCTCACCCAGACACAAATGTCTGAACCTCCTGTGGGCCAGGCACTGCCTTCGCTGCGGGGAAAGCAGTGGGGAGAAGGCAGAAGGGGGCCTGGCCATACACAGAATGCCGTGATGGAGGACAGAGGTGCATGACAGGAGGATGGCAGTGGTGGTGTGCTTTGCATGAGGCGGGCCTGGGCTGCTCTGGGGGGGACAGTTGAGGTGAATTGGCTGTGTGCACTCCTACAGGGAGGGCCACCAGCCAGGGAGCACAGCATGAGCAAAGGCCTTGTGGTGGGAGCAGCTGAGAGGCTGCTGTGTGGGGCACTAGGCAAGTGAAGAGGGAAGAGAAAAAGCTGGGGCCGGCCAGGGTGGGCCCAGAGGCCTGCAGGCAGTGGACAGGGGTCTGGACTCCACCCTGAGTGTGTCAGAAAGCCATGGGGGCGTTGAAAGCTGTCGGGGAATATCAAATCTTATGAGGACAGCAGTGAGGAGTTGGGCTGGAGCCGTAGGTGGGAGCCGTAGGTGAGAGTTCTGGCCTGGCTGACATTCTGGGTGTTTCACTCCAGCCACTGTGAGGGCAGCCAAGGGAACCAGGTGAGCTGTGTGCTGTCATGGGTGAGGGTGGCTGGGCTTAGTGAGGGGCTGAAAGCTTCTTATGAGAGTAATGGGTGCTCGAGGATGGTGCTGGTGGTAGGGGAAGCTGGAGGAGAACAGGAGTCATCGAACCTAGGGGAAGGGTCCAGCGGGGTGGGCCAGCATCATCGGCCCATGACCCCACTGAAGACCAGGGAGCTGGTGGGACCCCTCAGGAAGAGAAGGCAGGAGGGGAGGTGAGTGTTCTGCTGACTCAGAACACCCCTGCTCAGGGGCTTCCTGTTCTTCTTAGGACAAAACCCAGAGTCCTCCTCCTAGAGCTCCATCCCCCAGCCCCTGCTGGGCTGGCCCCTCCGGCCTCCTACGTCTCTCAGGCCTTTGCCTGGGGTGCTCCTCCTACGACCTTCACATGGCTCACCCCAGACCACCTTCCTGGCTCTGCTGAGGTCACTGGAGGCCTCGCGCCTGGAGAGCCCCTGCTCCCATAATTCTTCCCAAGGATTAAAAATCGCACAGTGCTCTGCCCGTGGGGCCGTGGTCGGGGGGAGGTTCCGGGAGAGCTGGGAAGGAGAGGCCAGAGACATGGCCTCCAGGCTGGCTGGAGGGAAGAGGTGGCATCAGGGGCTCTAGACAGGGGAGGCATGGGGCCTGGGGGACCAGGGGGCCGCGGGGCCGAGCACATGGGCGGTGCCACTACCGGGGACTGCACCCCCCGCCATCGTGTCCAGGAACAGCCAGGGGCTGGGGCAACATGGGGAGAAGAGGGGGTACAGAGTCCTGAGGCCCCAGGAAGAAACTGAGGGGCAGCCCTCCCTGAGGCCCTCTCCAGGGGGGAGCCGGCGGGACAGAGGAGAACTCTCAGTGACAGGGATGGACACCCTCCCAGTCTGAAACGAGCAAATGATTTGAACCACCAGTGTCAGATGGAGATTTATCTGCACTAGGTCAGCACGGGGGAAGGGCTCTGCAGGCCCACCACACCCCCGTCCCCTCCTTCCACCTGCAGCCCCCCCGCCGCCGCCCGCTCCCTCCAGGCCCCCAGACATGACCGCTCAGTGTCCAAAGACTCCACCAAGAGCAGGCAGGCAGCCAATGCAGGCGCAGTTAAGTGGGGCAGCATGGGGGCCGTCCTGGGGAGAGAAGGGTGATCGGTAGGGAAGGGGCTGCAGGCAGCCCTGCCCCGCCCAGCGCCCCCCTGAACCTCGGTGCCTGCATCTCTGGCAGTCCATGCCCCAGGCAGAGCAGAACTGTGTGAAAGCCTCTTGGGTTGGTCTGGGGGTCCAGGATGCGGCTTCCTCGGGTCAGCCCTAAACACATCCCATCACAGCTGGCCCCCCAAGCAGCCCCTCGTTGGTCACATGCCTTCCGGACCCCTCCTGCTCCCACTGGCCACCCCACTGGGCTGTAATCCAGTTGCACCCACTCCCCCATCCTGACAGCACCCAATCTCAGATGCTTGCTGCTGAGGGGACTGTCCCCCCCCGCTGCCCCCAATGAACTCAGGGAGGGGCCTACCTGTTCTGCCTCAGGGTCCAGGAGACGGGCTGCCTATGGGGCTGAGGGATCTAGGCTCACCTGAGGGAAGGGGGAGCACTTGGGGAGCTGCGGTGACTTTCCTGACTTGGGCCCTTCTGGCTGGAGGGGAAGGTGGCTGCCCAGCACCTCGGCCCTCCTTGGGTGGAGAGTGAAAGTGGAGATGGGGTGCTTTGGTCCCTGAACCCCAAACAGGCCCCTGTCACTGCTCCGTGCCCCGATGTTGACTGAGGGGGTGGCTGGTGGGGGGGGCATCTCGACACCCTGCCAGCCTCCTCTAGACGAGGGGTTGCAAGACGCGGAGTTTGTCCCAATGGGGTGAGTCAGGAGCCCGATGGCCCACCCTTATCCTGAGGACTGTGGTTCAGCTGTGGGGTGAGGGGGGGCCACTGTGGGCTCCCCAGCAGGGGCTCCCCAGCAGCCCCCAGTTCCCTGAGATGTCTTCAGGGCAGATGGCGGGTTCAGGGCCGCCTGACAAAGAGAAGTGTCTGCCCACCCGCCGCCCGGCCGTGAACCATCTTGAGCTCCGTTGCCCCAATCAGCCTCTCCACCCATCTCAGCCCTGACCTGTGACCCCAGCCTGTCACACGGATGGCCAGAGGGAGGAGGGGCGGGCAGTGGGGGAACGCAGTGGGGGCCAGAGCAGGGTCCTGGGATGGGGAGGAGCCACGGCCTGGAGTTCCTGGGGGGCTGCTCATGACTGCTGGGAGGTTGGGGAAGGGCATTGGGGCCTGAGGTGCCCAGCAGCACCCACTACCCTGCTGTGACGCCCCCTCTGCGTGGGCTCAGGAGCCCCGTCTCACCCACCCAGCGCCTGCAGAGGGCAGGTACCTCTGTGAGTCCGGGGGTTAAGCACACACACCTTGGTCTCCCCAGGGGAGGACCGTACCTCTGTCCTCGGGGCGGCTGCTGCAGGCTTGCTCTCCGGGCCGGGCCTCGCTGTGCACACCGGGGGTCCCAGGCCCACCTGGCCTCACCTCTCCCTCCAAGACGGGCATGCGGGGCCTGGTACTCTCGTGGAGGAAGGAGTCGAACTTCAGCATGTGAGCTGAGGGAGGACAGTGGTCAGTGGGGGGTGTGGCCCCCCACAGCAGGAAGACGGTGGTCAGCAGGGGGTGAGGCCCCTCACAGCAGGAGGACAGCAGTCAGCGGGGGGTGAGGCCCCTCACAGCAGGAGGACGGTGGTCAGTGGGGTGAGGCCCTTCACAGCAGGAGGACGGTGGTCAGCAGGGGGTGAGGCCCTTCACGGCAGGAGGACAGTGGTCAGTGGGGATGAGGCCCCCACAGCAGGAGGACGGTTGTCAGCGGGGGGTGAGGTCCCCCACAGCAGGAGGACAGTGGAGGCTGTGGTGAGAGGGGACGGGTTGGCGCGGGCTGGGCACTCACTCTGAATGGCCGACTCGCAGGCTTGGCTCACGAGCTGGTAGATGTGGCTCGCCCTGTGGGGGACACGCATGTGAGGGAATGTGCATGTGTGGGGACCCATGTGTGAGTAGACACGCATGTGAGGGAATGTGGGGGGGGAAGTGTGTGAGGGGACGTGTATGAAGGGACGTGTGTGAGGGAATATGTGCATAGGGGTCTTGTGTGAGGGGACACCGCATGAGGGGCCATGTGCGTGAGGGGACGCGTGTGTGAAGGTCTCTGCGTGTGAGGGGACACATGTATGAAGGGAGGCGCATGTGAGGGGGCCCAGCTCGGCGGGCAGGCGCCGTCTGTTGGTGGGCCCTGTCTCCCCGCCCTGACCTGGAGACCTGGACTTGGCCGCTCACCTTCTCCCCTCGTTCTCCTTTCAGCCCTGGCAGCCCCTGATGGGAGAGGGAGGAGAGAAGTCAGGGGGAGGACAGGTGAGCACTGGCGGGTGATGAGAGCCTGGACCCTGTTAGCTGGTCCCCACTCCAGGCGGGGGGCACTAGGGCCCTGGAGTTGTAGCCCCCAGCCTTTTTCCAGTGTTCCTGGTGGGCACAGCGGCAGGGGGAGCTCTGTGCTGCGGGGGATGGGGAGACCAAGGCACTGGACCCCAGCAAAGCCCCGCCTGAGCCCCAGCTTTGGGTAAGAGGCTGGGCTCTACTCTCAGGGGCCTCGTTCTGTGCCTGGGCCCCACAGGAAGGGGTGTATCTGTGTAGTGGGTAGAGGGCTTACTGTGGGTCCCACGGCTCCTGGGGGTCCTTGCTCCCCACAGGTCCCCCGGGCACCCGCCATGCCCTGGAACCCCTGCAAAGAAGCAGAGTCAAGGCCCCATAGTCAGCCCCTCAGCCTGGGTGTCCCAGGATTCCCACCCCCCACAGAGCCCACACCCCTTAACTCACCCCACGGCTCCCTTCCCAGCCCAGGCTCTGACCCCCGCCAGCTCTTTGGCTGTGCCCGCCCCCCACCTCCCCAGGGGAGTGTCTGCTGGACTCGGCTGCCTGCCAGCCCCCAGCAGCTCCCAGGCTTCCTGCACACGCGCAGACCCCCAGACCTGGGGTTTGGGGATGAAGGTGCTCTTGAGGTAGGCGGAGGCGGTAGTCCCACCCCAGCCTCCAGCAGCAGAGACGGCCTCGGGGCTGCCGTTTGATGTCCTCCCCTCTGTGCTCAACCGCCCCCTGCGCCCCTCAGGCCAAGAGGACGGAAGTCCCTGAGGAGAGGGGGGAGACGAAGAAGCAGGCCGACCCCGCAGCCCGCCCGTCCGCTGCCCGCAGGCCCACCTGGGGCCTCTGGCACCCTCCTGCCATCTGTAACCAGGGTGCACTCGTGATGGAGGTGCACAGACACTGCACTTCCATGCTGCACCCCCTTGTGCCAGGGCACGCAGCACGCTCCAGCCCAGGATCCAGGATCCAGCCCAGGACATGTGGCCACAGCCAGCCCGCAGTGAGCTGGGGTGCCTGGGCCCCGGCCCGGACGGTGGGTCCAAGTCCTTCTCTGAGACCAGCCCCTGGCCAGCCCCAGTGAGTCTCAGGGGCGAGGTGGAGCAGGGAAGGTGGGGCAGTCCTACCCTGGGGCCAGGGGGTCCAGGCAGGCCAGCAGTCCCTTCCAGTCCTCTCATTCCCTGAGGGCAAAGGAAGGCTCGAGCCACACACCCATTGAACGGGCTCCCTAGCAGCACCCGGCAACCGACACAGGCAAGGCTGGTGTCCCTGGCCTGCACCCTGCCCTGCGCACAGGCTAGGCGCCGAGCTGTGCCAGCCTAGGGCAGTGACCCGCCCGCCCTGCGGAGCCCCACCACGGGCAGCTCCCCTCCCTTCTGGGCAGGCCGCTCCCCACCCCTTCGCCACGCCTGGGTTCCCAAGAGCCTTTCCCAGCGGCTTCTCTGCCACCTCACGGAACCCTCTGCACCCAGAGCTGGTACCTTTGGTCCCGGGAGGCCCAATCTCCCAGGGGTGCCGTGGTGGCTGGGGAGGCCCTTAACAGAACAGAGGTGGACAGCCACGCCAGGGCCAAGGTCATACCTGAGGAGGGGCCGGCCCCCAAGGGCCCATGTCCCAAGAGGAGGTGTCACCTCCCACCCCCTGCCCAGTTCAGACCATCTACCTGTGATCCTGGGAGTCCGTGGTCCCCCTTTTCTCCTTTGACCCCTGGTGGACCCTGCAAGGGAGAGGTAAGGATGGACTCAGCCACAGGAGGAGGGGAGAAGGGGCTGGAGGAGGGTGGGGAAGGGGCTGTAACACCTACCACAGGCCCCTGGATCGTGCGGCCCTGGGTCCCCGGTGACCCTTGCTGACCTCCAGGACCCTCGGGTCCCATCTGTCCAGGTGGCCTGGGCTCTCCCTGGAGACACAGGTGGGGCGCCGAGAGGGGCAACCTTACTGGTAGAGGCTGGTCCATGTCTCTCGTCCTCACAGTGGGACCCCTGGCCCTCTCCCTCCATGCCACGCGGCCACCTTCATACCACGTGGCCACCACGGTGGGTGCCGAGGGGAGGTTCAGGGGCTGCGGGAGTTGCCTTTGTGTAGAGCGAGCACATGCAAGAGGACTAATGAGCCCCTGGAGGTGAGTGGCACTCTCTAGAAGGGCACAGGGACGTGCAGCTCAGGCCTCCCAAGCCAGGAAGGGGGTGTCTGGGGGCGCATCACAGTGCCCGCCCGTGTCTCTGCACTTTATGTTACACACACCTGGTGTCTGTTTGTGGTTGGATTTTTTTTTTCTTCAATTAAGCAAACTTTAAAACGTAGCTGGCTGGAGACACCTGGAGCTGGGAGGGATAGGACAGCCCTGGGGACAGTGCGGGCCCCTGCTGCCATCCTTGGGGTGCTGACTCCGCATCCCTCTCTCGCCACAGAACCAGATCCCCCGCGCACCCCATGCACAGCCTGCCCGAAAGTTCTCGGCCACCAACTGCACAGTGGCTCCACCTCTCCGAGCCTGTTTCCTGTCTGTGGAATGGGGAGCCACCGCAGCCCGGAGGGTGGGGGGTGTCCGCCGACCGCCAGGCACAGGGCTAGGTCCAGCAAGGGCACTAGGTTGTCAAGACTTCCCCCCGACTGGGGGTGGGGGTGACACAGTCCTTGCTCCTTGTGTTCTCTGAGTGTGCCGGGGTCCTCACCTGGAAGTAAGATCCAGGCCCTCCACCCAAGGCTCCCCGAGATCCCAGCACTCACCCTGGGCCCTGGGAAGCCCTGCTCTCCAGGGGCACCGTTCTTCCTGGGGAATCCCTGTGAAGGCAGAACGGGCTGCCCACTCACCCATCCTGAGGCCCCAGCACCACCCGGCCGACCCCCCAGGCTGAGCTGCACCTGCCCCCTCACCCCGCCCGGCCCTGGGCCCCTGCACACAGTGCTGGGTGGAGAGAGGAAGGGGCTCCCGGGGGCAAGGACGTTTTTTCCGTCCTTCCCTCTCCCAGCCGGCGGCTAAGAGCTCAGGCTTTGGGTCCGGACAGGTGTGGGTTCAAACCCCACCCAGCCTGTAGATCACAGACGTCCCTGCTGGGCAGGCTCAGAGCCTGCAGGAGCCTTTCCTGTGGGACTGGGTGGGGGGTCCTGGGCCTGGGGCTTGCAGAGGCAGCTTGGCTAGGGCCCGAACTCCCTTTTGGGTCCTGGCCCCTCGGGGCTTCGGGACCTTGGAGAGCTGCCCCCACCACCTGCGAGACCTGCTCAGGGGCCCGGGCCAAGCCCAGAGCCCCAGGAGAGCTCTGCCAGGCCACGTCACACCCACCAGCACAGGCCGACCACCGTTCAAATAGCAAAAATGGGACATAGCGGATTCCACGCCAGAAAGGGTCCACAGTGCGCCCACAAAGGGGCGGCCAGGGCCGGGGGTGGGTGGGCCATGTCCCTGGGGAGACTGGCCCAGCCAAGTGGAAAGGGAGGGGCCTGTCCAGGCTCCAGTCTCAGGGGACCAGGGGGTGGGGGTGGGGTGGACTGGCCAGGAGGAGCCGATCTCCAGGCCGTCCTGGAAGGCTGCAGGTGGGCCAGGGCCGGTGGCCAGCGAAGGGGGGCATGTGGGGGGCCCATCCCTGTCTGCTAATGGCACTGAAATTCTGACCGGAGCCCCTGGCCCCCAGGGGAAGGCCTGTGGACTCACTGGAGGTCCTTGGGGGCCAGGGGGCCCGGGGGTCTCTGAGTGGCAGCTGCAGGCAGAAGGGGAGGTGGGGCAGGTCTCGGCATCCCTCTGAAAGGAAGGAGACCTGCTCAGGAAACGGACCCTTCCCCCCGCTCTGACCAACCCCAAGATTCCAGGAGAACCGCAAGCCACCCCCAGGGAGCCCCATGAGACTGGGGGCAGAGGGGCTGGGACAAAGGCATGCAGGGGGCAGGTCTCAGCTGAGACCTCTGGCCCTGAACCCCTCGGTGAGCTTCGGGGTCCTGGGCTCCTACCCTCCTTGGCTGCCCACAGGAGCCCAGGTGGTATCTTCTCATCCCTTACCCCCTGCCTGGCCCCCAGCACCGCTGAGCCCTGGGGACGGGGGGGTGGGTCAGTGAGACCCCAACAATGCCTGCTGTCTGCAGAGGCTGCCTGTGTCCCTGGTGGGGCTGGGGGGCCCTTGCTGGGTGGGCCCTTCCTTGCCCATCACCCCTGCCTTGGCCCTGAGAGGGAGAGGGTGGCTGAGGGCACAAAGCTGCCACTGCTGCAGCTGCTACAGGACCCCCACCCTCCAGGAAGCGGACCCTCATCTCTCACAGCAGCGTGGTGGCCTGCCACCAACCCTGTGACCCCTCGGTGGGCACGCACCAAGGCAGGCAGCTCACAGCACCTGTCCTCCTCTGCCCAGGACTCATTACAGACAATCTGGAGGGTCTGCAGCTGGAACTACAACGGGTGGGGGGTGGTCAGCTGGACACACAGGCTCGGACAGCTCCCTCCATCCTCTGTGGTCCCAGGCCCAGGCTCACCGTGGCCGAGCTGCTCCGGGGGCCCCTGACCTTGGCCAGCCTCCCCAGTGTGACGAAGCCGGAGGCGGGCAGGCCGCCCACCTGCCCGAAGGGCCTCTCGGCAACCTTCCGTCAGTCCACGTAGAGCTGGACCTTGGAGTGGCCCACAGCCACGTGCACCTGCAGACATCCCCCCGCGGCATCCTGCAGGTCAGGGCAGGGGCTGGGGGGGCCTCCCGGGTCAGAGGGCAATGCCTGTCCATGCCCACAAGGCCAGGGCAGAATGGAGGGCAGGAATCCGTGCCCATCCCTGGGGGCACCTGGGGCCACGATCCTGACACCACTGAGTCTTGTGGGTCCTGGGGAAACCCCACCTCACCGGCCTGTGTCCCCTTCCGTACAGCGGACCAGTGATACCGCCCAGGGCTATGCGAGGTGGCACGGGCCTAGGGGGAGGGGAGAGCACTCCTGGACCCAAGTTCAGTCAGGAGGGACTGGGAGGGGATGGGGCTGGGCCTGCAGTGGGGAGCTCAGAAGCACCTAGACAGTGCTGCCTACAGTCACCCCCCACGCCGTGTCCACTATGGTCCTGGACGAGGCTAACCAAGACCCTCGTCCTTCGCAGATCAGGGTGCCCCGGCCGGAGACCAGAAGCCTAGAGGCAGCTCTCCCCTGGGAGTTTCCCCTGATCCACGCCGTCCAGAGCACCGACTGGGCAGGCACCAGGGTCCCGGCTAGTCCCCCGCCACCCAGCTCGAGGAAGGGCAGGGGAACAGGGAGTAAGACAGCTCCCAGTGGCCTGGCGTCCAGCGTGGCCTTCATTTGCTCTTGGGAAAAATCTATGAGCCCCCGAGACCTGCCCAGCCACATCCTGTAATTCTTTATGCAAACTGACCCCAGGGCCTGGGCACACACCGCTCCCGCCTCTGAGTGCCCCATTCTCATCTTCAGAGAGGTTCAGACGTCACCTCCTCGGGGAACACTCCTGACCCCATCACAGGAAGGGACTCCTTTATGGCAGGTAGCATGTGCTGGGTGACCATACCATGGAGGGGGACCATACCTGTGCTAGATGCCCAACCTGTGCCGGGGACCACACCTGTGCTGGGTGCCCACACCTGTGCCGGGGACCACACCTGTGCTGGGTGCCCACACCTGTGCCGGGGACCACACCTGTGCTGGGTGCCCACACCTGTGCCGGGGACCACACCTGCAGGATGATTCAATGTCTGCCCATATCTTGGGCCGTGAGCTCCAGAAGGACAAACGGGCAAACCTCAGTCTGTCATTTGCAGAAAAGGGACCGTGGTGCCCGTGTAAGAGGGAGCAGCAGCTGTGAGAGCTGGAGGGGGGTGGCAGGGGCAAGTGAAGCCAGGGGTTGCCTCTGGGTTCCGGCAGGTAGAGCGTCCCACCCTTCCACCCTGCTAGGGGCCGCAGGGGGAGAGTGCAGACCTGAGGAACGGGATGGCAGGGAAAGATAGACTTCAGCCAACTGCACAAAAGTTCAACTCCTGTACAGCCCCCGATGAAATTAAAACGGGAGCAGATGGGTGGGGGGCTGCAGCCAGATCAGAGGCAGAAAGAAGCAACAGTGAAAGACCCCATGGGGAGGTCTCGAGTTACCAGCCCTGACGGTGCCTGTAGGAGGAGCTCCTATGACGGGGGCGGGGGATGGGCCACACTAAACAACGAGATCGGGCGCAGGCGTGCAGCAGATGGTCAAGCTGAGCTGCTGTAAGTGGGGCGGGCAGAAAACAGACTGGGAGAAGTGCTCCTAAGTCTCAGTGGTGCTGCAGGGTCTTTTAAGGGGCGTTGCGTATACTTTTTGCACTTTTGAGTATGAACTATCTTTACAATTTAAAACATTGAAACCAAGAAAACCTGACGCTATGTATATGGAGATTCAGCTTCACGATTCAAGGTCTTCTTAAACAGAGGATGGTGGTCAGTGGGCCTCAGGGGCCGTTGCAAACCTTGGTCATGGTCACCGAGCAGTCATTTCTTACAGCCCTGGGATATTTGCAGATCTGCTCCATCAAATTAAAACATCGAATAAACCAAACACCAAATTAGTTGTCATCAAGTGGACTCTGACTCACGGTGACCCCGTGTGTGTCAGAGTAGAACTGTGCTCCATAGAGTTTTCAATGGCTGATCTTTCAGGAGTAGATTGCCAGGCCTTTCTTCCAACACATCTCTGGGTGGACTTGAACCTCCAAACTTTTGGTTAGCAGCCAAGCAGGTTAACCGTTTGCACCACCCAGGGACCTCCTTAAAACATCCAGTAGGAGGCAAGAATCCTCAAAGGAGACAAACGCCGGTTGCCTGTGCAGAATTCTGCCTTTAGGGACAGACCCTGTGCGTGGTTGCAGAAACACCAGCAAGGGACCTCCTTCCTCTCTGTGTGAGATTTTATTAACTCACACAATGAAGATTTCCAGACCCCACTTCCCAGGCAAGACTGCACTTGCTGATTCTGAAGATGAGCGCTGGACCAGGTGGCCAGGGGCCCGCACCCCATGTGGCCCCTCCAGGAGGTTCCTCTGAGGCTGCCCCCCCCCCTGCCCTGCCCTCCCACCTGGCTCTGCGCAGCAGGTGGGCATCCTTGAGGAGCATGAACGTCTTGGCCCCCCCGAATGCAGAGGGCTCCATCGCCACCCCTTGAAGGGAGGCGTATTCCTTCTCCACCAAGCCGAAGGTGGCCATGAGGTCAAACCCTGGAGGGACAAAGGGCAGTGGGAGAACCCGAGTCATAGTCAGAGTCAGAGGGGGAGGGAGGGAAGCAGGGAGGCAGACGGGGCGCCAGGGAGAGCGAGGGGAACAGAGGGAAGCATTGCTGCTCAGGTTGCTGCTCAGAGACCAAGCGAGACAGAGACAGAAGGCGCAGAGAGAAGGCAGCAGGCGGAGGGGCGTGGGGGAGAGCCCTGGGGGAGGGCAGGAGGATTGGTGGGAGGGAGTTGCGGCCAAGGGTCTTAGCAGGTAGGGAGGGGTCTGCCCCAGCCAAGGGCAGGAGTGAGACCTGAGCTGCCCTGCCCCCTCCTTACCCCGCCCCTGCCCTCCTCCCGCCTCATGCCCAGCCCTATTCAGAAGGTCCAGCACTCCACACTGCAAACCCCACCTCCTGCTCTCTGACCCCCCACCCCAACATGCAGAGCCCTGCAGCACCCACCCCTGCACCTCTGCCTCCAGCTCCCAAGGGGGCAGGTCTTCTTTGTGGGGTTAATTTCTCTCCAAAGCTGCTAAGGGGCTCCCCTTTGCCCTGCCCTGCAGTATCGCCAGGCCCCCCTCTATCCCATGCAACCTCTAGGACCCTCCATGTCCCGACTCCCCCCAACCCTCAGCCCTGTACCCAGCAGGGGCCACCGCGTATCCTCCCAGCTCCTTCCCTGGTGTTAATCACACACACACACACACACACACACACACACACACTCCAAACCCATTGCTGTTGAGTCGATTCCAACTCATAGTGACCCATAGGGTTTCCAAGAAGTGGCTGGTGGATTCGAACTGCCGACCTTTTGGTCAGCAGCCGAGCTCTTAACCACTGCGCCACCAGGGCTCCTAACTGCACACAGTGAATGTGAAATCTCTTATCAGTGCGGCCAGCAGGCAGCGGGTGGGGGATGCTCCCTTCAGAACCTCTTTCAAATCAGCTCCATCACCACCACCCCAGTCGGCAGACCCGGCCCCTCTGCTCCCTCCCTCCTCTGGCTGTGTCCCCCACCACGTCCTGTCTGTCCCTTGTGCGGGGCAGCTGGGGGTCTCCAGGCTGGGCACCCCTGTGGTCAGCGCAGAGCTCAGGGAGGGAGGCTGTGTGGGGCCTTGCGGGGAGCCAGCAGACACCAGGACCTCAGCTTTGCCTTTGCTCTGCCACATCCAGGCTGGGAGCCATGGTGAGCCCCTTGTCCACCTCAGTTCCCTCAACCATGGACTCAGGGATAAAACCACCCCTCCTCCAACGTCCTGCAGCCCCACCCCCCGCACTGTGGGTGGGGGTGGCAGGTCACATTCCTTGGCCTCCCCCTTAGCCCCCTGCCAGCCCCTGCCTGAGCCCCCAGGAGTGGGCTGGGCCTGAAGGGAGGTCCCAGAGGAGCCTTGAAGGGACCTACCTGGGAGGGAGCTGTCTGGGCGCTGCGCGGGGCAGGATGCTGAGGGCAGAGATCCAGGGTCAGGGGCAGCCAGGCCTCAGTGCTGCCTCGAGCGAGCACCTGGGAGGGACAGTGCCTCCTGGCCCCCATGGCCCCAGTCCCTCCTCAGGGATGGGAAGGGGCAGGGGTGGCGTCCTGTGTCTCCCGGCCTCCCATTGTGTGCTTAGACCACAGGGCAGCCCGGGGCCGCACCCCACCAGACGGCGGGGCCACACAGTGAGCAATGGGGAAGCCACTCTCAGGCCCAGGAAGGGTGCTGACTGTGGCTGCTGTCCCCGGGGCAGTGCGGCCCTGCCTAGTGTGGCATTCAGGCCAAAATGTCAGGGACACGAGAGGGCAGCTGCAGCGTTTAGACTGAACCTGGTGTCAGTTCCCCTGGCTCCCAGCCACTGGCTACAGGGTTACCACACTGACCGGGGTCAGACCCTCCCAACGCCGGGAGTCTGGACAGACTTGCAGCCTTTGTGACGCAACTATCCTCCTTCAGGGTCCACGTTCTTGAGGTGCAAAGACACTCACTCACCTGTCCGGCCGGTGGCCGCCACGGCCGTGCTCTCCCCTGCCTTGTAGACAGCCGGCACCAGGACCTTGTACTTGGTGGCTGTCAGGAGGTCAGGGAGCGTCGCGCGGCTCCTGGGTCCTGGGACGGAGATCTGACCCCACAGGGGCACAAGTCACCCGGGCTGCCCCTTCCCCAATGTCAGCTCCCTCCTAGTCCTGCTGTGCAATCTCCCCACAGCAGCGCCAGGACCCAGGAGACCCACCGTTGTCTCAGGTCCTGAGCCGGAGGCCAGTGCATAGGTGAGGCGGTAATGGAGGACCTGGCCGTGCGGGGATGTCCAGCTGACCTGCAGGCTGTTGGGTGTCTCCGAGGCCAGGGCCAGGTTAGAGGTGGGGGCTCCGGCTCACTGTGCAGAGAACGAGTGACAGAAGCCTCCCGCACTCAGGAAGGTGCACCTGGAGGCAAGAAGACCCGCGGGCCGCGCCCCACCCCGTGGCCACTGGAGCCCAGCCCCTACCCCGTGCCTTGTCTCTGGCCACCCCAGTCCCTTCGCTGCGTCCCCACCCCACGCCCAGGATACCTCTGCACTGAGGGCCGACTGGGGTCAGCTCCTGGGATCCTGTCCTAGTGGACTGTACTGCTAACACCTGGTGATTGGGGCCCATGCCCCCTCCCCAGAACACCTGCCTACATGGGCTCAGGGAGGCCCTGAAGACCCAGAGGTCAGGCCGGAGGGTGGGGTCTGGGGACCCTGGAGCATGGTTGCAGAAGTCCTGGGGTTCAGGGTCTGGGGCCCTGCAGCTGGGTGAGTCTGGTTCCTCTGGGCTGCTCCTGCCCACACCAGCTGGGGGGTCACCTACGGGGGGGGGTGTAGCGGAGGGACACGGGGTCGCTTCGGGCACTGTCACGGTAGTAGGCCAGGATGGGGATGTCATACTCCGACGTCCTCCCCAGGCCAGGCAGGACAGTGGAGCAGAGGTTCCCAGGCACGGAGACCTGAGCAGAGGAGGACCGGTCTCCCTTGGCAGAGGGTTGCCCCCTGGGGGTGGGGGGGCTCACGTTTGGGTCCCCGACTCACAGCTGTCCCTGAATCACAGGACTGGTGGCGCTCACAGGGGTCTGTGCCAGGCTTTCGGTCAGGAGGGTCTCCTGCAGTCAGCCCCTGCCCTGCCCTGGCGAGCTGGGTGTGGGGGAGCTTCTCTGAAACTTGGGGTCCCTCTGTGGATAGGCTGCAGCCTCTGCCCATCCCTCACCTCGTGGGCCTTCCCACTGCCCAGGGGCGTCCACTTGATCTGGTAGACCAGCACACCAGACGCTGCTGTGGCCACCCACTCCAGCCGAACTCCATCCCTGGCAGCTCTGTCACCGCCAGCTGGAAGATGGGAAGGGGACACTGGGGCTGGGATTGATGCGGACTGGGGTCCTGGCGAGGTCTGGGGTCCTGGTGAGCTCTGGGCTATTTGGGGGTCTGGGGCTGGCTAGGGGCTGGGGTCTTCCCACATGTTGACCTTCGGGCCAGGGGCCAGCTCCAGGTGGGGTCTTCACAACAAGGTGCTGGAAGATAGGAGCAGCACCCACCGCAGTAACAGCCCCAACACCGAGGGTCCCTACGGGCCAGTACGGGCCAGGTGCCGAGCTCAGCGCTTCACATACCATCCAGTTAATCACATGAAGTCCCACAAGTGTGTAATTAAAGCACCCAAATGCTAATTACAGATAGTTTGATCCTTGGGTATCAGTACACAAAGCTACATTGGCACCATCTTGGAGGCCCCACACCTCCCCCTCAGCATTCCTGTGACCTCAGAGCTACCAGTAACCCTATTTTATCCATGGAGAAACTGCGGCACCAGGCGGGAAGTCCTGCGTCCAGGCCCAGCTCTCTCTGTGGCCAGCAACCAAGCAGCGAGCCACAGGGGGGAGGGGGGGGCGACTTAACCCCTAAGCGCAGAGGGTCTTGGCAGCGGGAGGAGGGAGGGAATGGGGGAGAGCCTTGGGACAAGTGGCAGAATCGGTTATCAGAACATTTAGGTCGCTGTGTAGTGACCCAGAGGCCCTGGGAGGCCGGTAGGAGGGCCAGGCAGGGCTTGGAAGCAGCGACTGACCATCCTGGGGGTCGGCCCTGTGTAGGCGGCCACCCGCCCAGGGTGACTCCGTGGAAACGTCCTCAAGCTCCCACTAAAGGGGCTTCCCTGGCACGGGCCCACGCTGAGGCTCACGGTCACACACCTGGACAGGCTGCCCCTTAGGGGACAGAGAGGCCACCCCAGCTCCCCAGTCCCCACGGCGGCGACCGCGCCTCCTTGCTCCCCCTTTCCCAAGACCCGTCGTGAGCTCGGCTCAAATCCACCTCGTTGAGGTGCCGCCGCCCGGAACCAGCAGAGCCCTCGCCCCGCTCAGGTACCCTGCTGCCCGCTCTCCCCGCTTGTCCCATCCGTTCAGATACCTGTCCGTCCCCCC